TGAGTCTGCCATGAGGAAAACCGAAAAGAACGATAACACACTTGTGCTCGTTGTGGATGTCAAGGCCCAAAAGCGTCATACATGTGGGCACACACTAGTAATCCCAGCCACTCAGAAGGCTGAGAAAGCAAGATCACAAATTTGAGAGCAGCCAGGGCTACTTAGACCCTGTCTCAAAAATAAAATAATAAAAGCTGGGACATAGCTCAGCACTAGAGCACTTCCCAAGCATATAGATGGTCCTTGAGTTCAGTTCCAACTCCTCCAAAAATATATGTATATTTTTAAGTCCCTCCAGGTGGCATTAATCTCTGCTATCCATCCAAAAACAAGAACCACCAACCAACCAACAGCAACAACAACAAATGGGGGGGGGGGTGCAAAACGACCAGATTATACAGCTCTGAAGAAGCTCTATGACATTGACCTAGACAAGGTCATTATCCTGACGAGGCCTGAGGGGGGAAAAAGTCATATGTTCACCCAGTTCATGAATATGATGCTTTAGATACTACGAATAAAATTAGGATAATCTAAATTGTAGCAACCTGACAATTCTAAATATATGTATATTTATATGTAAAGAAAATTAAAACACTGATCACTTATTTCTGGTCTTCAGAGCTGGTGGACCTCTTGACCACTAATGGAGGAAAAGACGTTGAGCAGCATATCAGATACCAGGGTGCGTGTTACTTTGCTCAAACAATAAAACTTCGTCTAATACAGCAGTTACAATTGGAGTCACCACCTGGATAATTTTTTAGCAATCACCATGGTCCTCCACTTTCTGCACAGGCCAAACAGGTGGGCTGAATGGGGTAATTTTTAAGTCATTAATCTCTGCCATCCATCCAGGAGTGCAGTATTGTTTGCCTAGGAGGAGGTAGTTCTAGTGGCTTCTGCTTGGTCTCCCTACCACAAAGCACCCACAGAAACCACCCTGGAGATCACGCCTGTTGCTGAGGTGGTTTTTTCTAATTGGCAACTGTGGGAGTACCACAGGGTAGGTTTAGGAACTCCGTGTCAAACATGGAGACAAACATGTCATTTTCACAGACCCTTTCATGCTGTCCCTTCCCAGAAGATAAAGTAAAACACTGACCAGATATATGTCATATTTGATAGCATTTAAAAATGTGGAGTGTAAACCTATCCAGATAGGAGGTAAGACAGAGTGTCAGAGAGGGCTTGAAGGGCCCTCAACAGTCAAGGAAAGCCAGTATTTGAAGTTTCTTGGGAAGAGACAGAACAAGGACAACTACAAATAAATCTCACTTGTTAAAATATCATAATTTATATAAATGATATGTGAAAACATAATAAAATATTGAGGCTACCTAGTACAGTAGAGCTGTACTGGGCTGGACTAACCCCCTCACATATGCTCCCCAGTGCCAACAGTTAGTAAACATGTGTGTCCATATTGCAGCGATGAGGTAACCAAGGCACCAAGAGGGAAAGTGCTGGTCAGTTCAGGGCTGCACCCTCTGTACTTCCTAAGAAGCCTCAGGAGCTCTCAGCAGAGGCTGACACCCCAGCTGTGTGGATCCAGTGTGGTCACTTGGTGCCCTCTGCTGCTGATCCAGGACTTTTAAGCTCACGAGTTCTGGGGAAGGAGGGAAATGAGTCAGTGTTCAATTGGTCGTAGAATATTGCTCTATGCCATTGGGATCTCTCTGTCTCCTCAGTTCAAATCAGATTTGGCCCTTCTCTGAGGGAAGTAAATGCCCTGACTTTTTCTCCCTCCCATCCCATTTTCCTGCCCTCATCAGGCTCCTCTGCGTCTCCATCAGCAGCGTCACCTGTCTCTGTTTCCACCACAGAAGGGAGTGAAAGGGCTGCAGGATTCCAGGTCAAGACAAGGAAATGAAGCCCAGTGCCCCCTCCTCCAGGGACAGTAGTGGCCTCCCAGAGAGAGCGGCTCCTGCTCCTACCACACTGGGCACCAGGCTCACACACAACCTTTCTCCCCCTTAGTTCCCAGGCCTCCTCCCCTGCAGAGGCAGGTGCTGACCCAGCAGGGCCTGCCCCACCTGCAGCTCAGCATCCCTCTCTCCCTGGGCCAGCAGCTCCTAACTGGAAAGTCCACCAGGAAGCCCAGGGGCACCAGCACACAGACCCAGCCTGGACAAACACATGTGCCACATGATCTGCTGCTCCCCTGCCTACAACAGCCCATGCAGAGGACACTCAGAATCACTGACCCTCTGCACCTGCCCAGGCTCTCAATCTGTACTTTTGCTTCCTCCTACTGGTATGGTCTTCCTTTTTCCTGAGGCTTCCCTGGACTCAATACCTCCACTCCATCAAGGACTCACATAGGCCACAACCCTAACAGGTCACATGGGTCTTCTTCCCAAAGCAGATTAGGAGGTTTCCTGAGATCCAGCAGTGTGGATTGCCATGGCCATACTCCAGGTCTCCCACCTGGGGCTCTCCTATAGAGTGATCTCAAGTGTCACATTACTGCACATTACCACAGGGGCACTGGAGAACTGCTATTCACATCATAGAGCTGAAACTGGGAACATCCTGAGAGTCAACATTTAAAGTAGAAATTTGCACAAATAAACAACAGGCCTTTCCCACTCTTTTCTTGGGCACAGCCCTAGTGATATTCCAAGCAAACATTTCTGACCAGAGGAAAGTAGAACTAACATTCCCCTTGCTCCCCCTGCTGGAGAGGCCACAGGTGAGAGCAGCAGAGAGTGCACAGTTGCCTGGCCTACTAGTGGAGTCACCTGGAGGGACCCTGCTGTGGGGCAGTCTGCCCTAGCCTGTGGGGACCAACACCCCTGGGGGCTACCTGGGAAAATTCCTGACATCAGAGAAAATGAATAACCACTGCTGCCCCCAAATGGACTGGTCTCTTTCTCCAGATGGTCATGGTCATCAGCTATTCTTCTGTCCATGCCATCTGTAAGGCCACTAGGAGGAAGAGCTGTGTGGTGGGGACTGGGAGGCCTGAGTGACCCAGAGGACATATTGAGGAGGCAGTTCCTGACAGGGGGGCGGAGGTGCTGCCCACAGAACAAAGGAGGTGCCTGTGCTGCAGAGCCACGGGCCTGCTGTATACGGGCCTCCCAGGGCCTGCACTGGCAGGACTCTTGCAATGTCAGTCTTTTTCTTGTTTGCTCATGATACCTGGAGAGGCTGGCAGAGAGCAAGGCAGACAGGAAGGAACCAGAGGCATCAATGCTCATGGGATTCTTCTTCTATTTCTAAGCACCCAAAGATCATGACACATTTATTCTGTGTCCCCCAGAGGCCATGATAATCTAGCCCACACCAATCAGCCCACCATTCCCAACACAGCCCCATGGACAAGCCAGCAGGGCCTGAGAGAGAGACAAGGACAGAGCAGGAGCCATGGCACCACAGCTGCTCACTCCTCACCCTGCAGCCAGAAGAGGCTACCGCTGGACAGTGAAGGAGTTGACAGCCCTGGCTTTGGGCAGCACTAAGGGGTGTAGCTGGAGGCATGTCTTCCCTCCCCTCACAGATACACAGACCTCCATCCTCTCTTCCAAAGGCTGCTCAACTCCATTGCTCTCTGAGCAGCAGGAGGCATGAGGGGCCCTACATCCCAGACAGGCCCTGCCATCTTCAGCCACTGAATGATTTTCTCACCTGAACCCTCTGCAGCTGATGTCCTCCTCTTCTTGCAGGAAGGAATACAAGAAAATAATCCCAGCAGTAACAGTGGATATCACGACAAAGGTGGCCATTGGCTCTCAAGCAGCAGTGCAGTCCCTGAAAGCAGGCTTGTTACACTCTGGGTACCACAGTCTCAAGGCTTCTCCCCTCTCACCACCCGGGGTCACTGACTCACCTGGTTGGAAACTCCGGCAGGAATGCCCAGGCTCACCACAGGACACAAGGCCAGTGCTGTTGTTCCCTCTTGAAAAACCAGCCTCTATCTCAGAGCAAAGCCTGTCCAAGGAAGGGACATCACCTTTGTCCTTGGAAAAACCCACAGAGCACTCCTAGGCACATTCCCACCCTGCTAAGTTGTTTATCTACAAATAACAGGAGAGATCTGCTGCACCAGGTGTCCCTGACTCAGTCAGGCTAGGTGGGGATCCATAGCAACCCCCTAGCAGCCACCAATCAGCATGAGACAGGGAAATACCTGGGATGCCAGATAACCCTCCCAGTAGTTTATGGTGATTGGGAAACCATGTAGTGCAGCAGGAACACCGCTCTTGGCTTAAACCAATCAGTTCAAATGAATACCCCTTTTGTACTGACCAATCACCCCTACCCAACTTGTTCCCACCAGTGAATGTGCTAATCATGTTTTAGAGTTGTTATTTGATTTTCCCGAGGTGTGTGATGATTTGCTATGATGTATGTGAAGTCCCTGCCCTCTCCAAAGAATGTATAAAACTGCTGTAAACTCTGGGCTCAGGGCCTCTCAGCGTCACCAGTTGCTGTGTGTGTGCACGGAGGACTGAGCTAGCTCGCAATAAACACCTCTTTGCTACTTACATGGATCTTGGGTCTCTGGTGGTCTTTGGGGGTCCCGAATTCGAGCATAACACTTTGTATCCGACATAGCAGCAGAACCTCTGCTCTTGTCCTTGGGGAATCCTAATGGACACCCAGGTCTGGTAGGTCCCATTCACATAGGGAAAACACCCCAAGATTGCTGGGTGTTCTGGCTCCGTGGTTCCCCATCCTGAAGCCAGGTCACAGAGATATTCTGGGGATAGAAGCCAAAAGCCCAACATGTCATGTTGATGGTGTCCTCCAGGGCCTCACCACAGGTCACATTTACTGCTGGGGACACTAGAGAAGGAAGGGCAAAGTTAGTCAGTCATGTGACCAAAAGTCGCTCCCCTCTAAGGGGTGGAACAGGGCTGTCTTCTCCACTCTTCTGACTATTGTCAAAGTCCTCATTGAGCTCAGATCCTGAAAGTCTGTTCTCAGCCTGGGGCCTGAGTCCTCTAACTAGCAGGAGCATGGGCCTCTGGCTTGTGGCCTCGCATTCTCACTTCCACATATTGAAGTTGAGGAGAGGCTGTTTCAGGGACTCCTGGTTTTTGAGGTCCTGAAGGGCATTTGGGGGAGGTCCAGGGTTGTGGAGCCAGGTTGGAGCTCTCTATATTAGCAAGCTGGCAGGCACTTAGGCAGGGGGGGACTCACTAGTGTCTGGGCACATACAACCTCTTGTCTCTGTCTAGTGGTGTAACAGGACAGGAAAACCACAACAGACACACACAAAAGCTCACACAAGTTCCCCTGGGCAGAGGCTCCAGAGGAGAGAGAGGAGCCCTTCCAGGAGACTTGATATCTCCTGAGTCTTCCACAAAGCTCTCCCTGCACGTGGGCCTGGTAAACCTTGCTTTGAATGCCATCTGCATCCCAGGAATTCTTGACTTCCATTGCCAAGGTCTGAGCTGATGATGGTTCTACTTTCCAGCTGAGTGTCTCTGGGTGATAGGAGAGGAAGGGCTCCCCATCATTAGTGGAAATTCCAGAAGCCCCTGGTGTGGTTGTCCTCTTCAATCTTGCAACCCCAAGTCTCCTGGAGGGAATGAGACCCTGCCCCCACCCACCAGTCACTTCTCCATCCCCTGGCCCTTATGCCTCCCTACCCACCAAGTAGAAACTCCAGCCCACAGAAGACCCCCAAAGTAATTCTCCTCAATATCCCATGTGCTGAGCTGCATGGAGCCCATTTCTTGCCCTCCCCAGTCAACTGCAGTGAAAACAGACAGGACCCTGCTCTTTGCCACCAGTCTCCCAGGAGAAAGCTCATGTCACCCTTGCTCCCACCCACACTCACCTCCTTTCTGCTCCTGCTGGGCATTGATTTCTGCCAGGGTTGCTTTTAGATTCTTGCTGTGCTCTATCAACTCCCAGATCTCTGTGTCCCAGCTCTCAGTTCCCAAAGGTTTTTCTGCCCATAGCTCCTGGGGCTTTGCACTTTCTATCATAGTGAAGAAAGAGCTGATGGTCCCAATAACAATCAGCAAAAAACCTTGATTGCACTGATCCACCTTGGGACCTCACTGTGAGGTTATAGTGAAGACTGTGGGTCCCTGTGGAAGAGGAAACAGCTGATGACCCTTCTACCTGTGAACAAGTGCTCACCCATGCTCACCACAAAGGCTCTGCTGTCCTGAGCACCGGAGGAGGCAGCAAACACACAGACAAAGGGACAGAAGAAAGATTTCCAATGCAATGAAGACAGGAAAGTAGAGAGGAAGGAGAGGTGAAGTGAGGAACGGAGAAAGGGGAAATGGAGAGGGGCAGCATGTAGGCCAGGGCCCAAGACAAGGCCACAGACTTGTTTAGGGTATAGGGAGTGTTTGAAATGAGAGGCTGGAGCCAGGTGCTGTGGCACACAACTGTAACTCCAGCGGCTTGGGAGGCTGAGGCAGGAGGATCAAAAGTTAAAAACCAGCCTCAGCAAAAGTGAGGCACTAAGCAACACAATGAAATCCTGTCTCTAATTAAAACACACAATAAAGTCTGAGGACATGGCTCAGTGGTGGAATGCCCCTGAGTTCAATCCCTGGTAGAAGAAAGAAGAAAGAAAGAAAGAAAGAAAGAGAGAAAGAGAGAAAGAGAGAAAGAGAGAAAGAGAAAGAGAGAAAGAGAGAGAGAGAGAAAGAGAGAGAGAGAGAGAGAGAAAGAGAGAAAGAAAGAAAGAAGGAAAGAAAGAAAGAAAGGAAAAGAAAAGAAAAGAAAAAATAATCGAGAGGTGGCAGGGAGGGCCCAGGAGGGAAGGAGGACCCATGACCACTGGTATTCAGCCCAGGCAGGGCAGGGGCCCAGAGGGGTGTGCTACCTCTGCACAGACTTCTCACAAATAAGGTGGGGCAGGCAGGAATGGCAGTGGGAGGGAGGGTTGTAGCCCCAAAAGTGTTGAGTGCTGTTGTACCCTAAAGGAATGTAAAGCTGTGGGCTGGGTCCTAATCAGCATCTTGAAGCTCCAGATTGAGAGATCCTGCTAGCATCTCCTGGGCCTCCACAGGTCTCAGTTTCCAAAGACCTGATACATCTTTTCAATAGATGGCACTAGAAAAAATGGATTTCCAAATGCAAACAACAAAGTTGGACAATTTACTTACTCACATACAGATATTTACTCAGAACTGGGGATGTAACTCAATGATAGAGTGCCTGCCTACAATGTGCAAGTGCCTGGGTTCAATACTTAAGAGTGTGTGTGTGTACACACACACACACAAACTCAAAACGAAAAGTAAACTATAAAACCAAATAGTCTTAGAAGAAAACACATTGGCAGCTGGACGTGGTGATGCATGCCTATAATCCTAGCCACTCAGGAAACTGAGGCAGATGAATGCTAGTTCCAGGCCAAACTGGCAACTTAGTGAGACCTCGTCTCAAAATAAGATATTGAAAAGTCCTGGGGGTAGCTCAGAGGTAGATCGCTTACTGGCATGTGAGAGATCCTGGGTTCAACTCTCACTTTCATATATATATATATATATATATATATATACACACACACACACACATATATACACATATATATATACACACACACATACATTTCATATAGATAGATAGATAGATAGATAGATAGATAGATAGATACACACACACAAACACACACATAATGGAAAATGTGTTTGCAATAATCTTCACAACAAAGGATTTGACCACATTTTCAATGATATGACACAAAAATCACAGACACTATAGAAAAATAATTAATACATTGGACTCATCCAAATTAAAAACTTAAAAACTTCAATATATCAAAGGATATGCACAGAAATGATGACCTGCAGGATGGGAAAAGATATTTGCAAGTCACATATCTAATAAGAGATGAACATTCAGAACATATGAAGAACTCCCGAGCTTAGATTAGCTCAGTTGTGGGGCACTTGACTAGCCATGTGCAATGTCTGAGATTGATCCCAGCTCCACATACAAGCAAACAAAAAAGAATCTCAACAACTCAACCATATAAAATATTTCAACCTATTCAGAACTGGCAAAGGCCAGTTACCTAAGGAGTTATACAAATAGCCAATGAGCACTTGAAGAGATGCTCAACATTAGCAATCATTAGGGAAATGAAAATAAAAGCACAATAAGATTCCACTTTGGATGGCTACTGCTTAGAAAAAATGAATGCAGAACAAACAAATTCCTAAGTACATAGAAAACTGCAGCACGGGGGGGGGGGGGGGTGCACTGCTTCCTATATATACAATGGAGCAGCTGTTATGAAAATTGGATGGTGGTTCCTCCAAATGCTCAAAGGATACTTTCTAAATGATCCAGTAATTCTATTTCTGGATATAAACACAAAAGTAGTAACGGCAGGTAAGTGCAGAGATATTTGTAGGTGCAAATTTATAGCAGCATTGTTTCCAAAAGCCAAAAGATAGAAGTAACCTCAGTATCTATCAACTGAGGAGCATCTAATCAAAATATGGCTTTTATGCAGAATTGATATTATTCAGCATTAAAAACAAAGGACATTCTGACAATTGCTACACCAAGGATGATCATGAGGACATTATGCTAAGTGAAGAAGACAGTCATGAAAGGACAAATTCTGAATGACTGCACTTGTATGAGGCACTTAGGGAGCCAAATTCATAGAGACAGAATGTAGAATGCTGCAGAAAGAAGACAAGGACTGGGGTGGGGAGGATGGATGCTTACTGTTTAATGGGTACAGAGTTTCAGTTTCCACAAAAATGTGAACACACTAAATGCCACTGAATTGTACACTTAAAATGGTTCAAATTTTAAACTGTACATTATGTCTATTTTACCACAAACACCAAACAGAAATCAGGGCAGTGTACTACAGATTAATGTAGAATCAGAAAGAAGAAAGAGGTGTAGGCCTGAAAAGAGAAAATCAAGGCTGGTGGACTAGTTGCACAACCTGGGGGAGGCCCTTCAGAATGGGAGGGGGTGGTGGGAGCTGGTCACACCCCAAAAATGCACCAGGTTAGAAAACCATTACAGGTGGTTGAGGGGTTGCTCAGTGGGGGAGGGCATGGTTGAGGCCTTGGGTCCAATGACCAGAACAAAGAAAGGAATAACCAAAGGAAAACACTCCAGGAGGAAGCTGGTGCTGGGAAAGGACAGAGTAAGGGAACAGCAGGAGCAACTGAGTAGCAAAACACAGATTTTGGATGCATAGTGAAGGGAGCCAAAGTCCTCTGAGGTAAAGGAACCAGAAGAAGGGGGAAGGTCAAGAGGTAGGTGGACCAAGAGCCTTCTTCTGGTATGATGGGGAGGGGAGATAAGAAGGGCAAACAGATTAGTGGTCTGGGCAAGGAATGACCTGGAGTATGTGGGGTGAACATGGCATACAGGTGACCCTAGGAGAACTTGGGTTAGGGTGAGGACCATTACTTACTAAATCATGAAATTTTTGAAATTCCCATGACCAGGTGGCACTGGAGAACCTTTGGATGTCCTGTTGCTGATCATGAGAATACCAGACAGTGCCTTGATTGACTGGGTTTCATGAAAATGGTGTAGAACAGAGATGCCAGTAAGTTGGAGCCTGCTGAGTAGTGGGCCTAGAGCAGTGGTGGGCAGGTGTGTGATAAAACATCAGTGGTAGGGCCATGAGGATGGGTAGGGGTATTTCTAGTGTTAGGGTTAAGGTAATATTTATAGCTATGGTTAGTGTTAGAATATGAGTCATGGTCAAGGTTAGTTTTAGGGTTAGGTTTAGGACTCGAATTAGGGCTAGGTTTATGTTTAGGGTTTGGTTTAAATTTAGAATTGTGTAGAGATAGGGTGAGTGTTAGGATATGAGTCAGAATCAGTGTTAATTTTAAGGTTAGAATTAGGACTCGAATTAGGGCTAGGGTTTGGTCTAGGTGTAGTGTTAGAATTTGGTTTAAGTTAAGGTTTAGGTTTTGGCTTCTTGCTTGGTTTTGTTTTAGTGCTATGGTTAGGGTTAGGACTAGTTTTACGATTAGCATTAGGGTATGCATGAGTGAAATAATGAACTATTTCATGTGGGTGTGTTTCCTGTCTTTTGTCTGGATTATAAGGTTGTTGGGGTCCAGACGTAGCTTTCAATTTCTTTGGACCTTCTTATGTTTACAAAAGTTAGGTCCATGGCAGAAATATTCATGGAACCCAAAGGAAATTGTTTACCCTGAAGAACTTTGGTCTTGTTCTGGGAAAAAGGACAGCTCTCTGTCAAAAACTAAGCAGTCCCAAGTGAAACCCTACACTCAATTAGCAAAAATTTTAATCTCTGAGCTTTCTACATGGATGGCTCTATGTGTATTGTTTCCATAACTCTGCATGTGACCAAATGTCCTTGACTTGACCTTGTGGGAATATGTAAACCATGGGACTCAAGGAGGGATGTTTGTGGGAGGAAGGGATCATGTGATGTGGAGCAAGCTCTATTTGCAATTCCCTGACTCAAGAGTGATTTCTGGGAAGTGGCAAGAGGTGACTCCACAAAGAGCCTTGCCGGACCCTACAAAGACAAGATTTTTTATGGGGATGGCACTCTGCCAGCAGGCCAGGAAGTGGAAAGCAAAAAGCTGACTCCGGGTCCCATTCTGACCAGCACCAGGTTTTCCTGTGCTTAGTTTTTAGCATGAAACTTTTTCAAGATCTGAAGGCTGAGCTAAAGGAATACTGGTATGCTCCTTTGTAGTGGAACACCAAATTAACTTACTTCTATAACTAAAAACTGATTTTTAAGATGCATCAATAAACCCACAATTTAGAGTATCACAATGATCACTTTTGCAATGCAAACTATCTGACCCTCTTAAGTTTTTAAAAAAATTCTGTAAACATATGCCCTGTGCTTCTACTACCTTTGTAATGGTTTTTGACGGTCCAAGAGGAGGCAAGCAGCTCTCTTGTCAGGCCTCCTCTGAGTCCTAGGGGACTAAAGAGAAGGGTTGGTTAAGACTGAGGCCCTGAACCTTTGCTCACTGGGGAAAATGGTATGGTGGTTCTTCCAAAATTAAACTTGAGATTCCATATGATCTGGTCTTTCCAATTCTAGGTATGTACCCAGAAGTGAAGGAGACAGGGTCGAACAGTTAATTGTACACCCATGTTCACATCAACCTTATTCACAATTAGCCAAAAAAATGAAACTGTCCACATGTTCGTGAACAGACGAATGGATAAACCAAATGTGGAATGTTACACTTAATGCCATACTATTTAACCTTTAAAAAGAAAGAAACTCGGACACATGCTACAACGTTGATAAACCTCGAAGACATGTTAAGCGAAATAAGTCAATCACAAAAGGACAAATATAATTCCACTTCTTTGAGGTACCTAGAGTAGCCAAATTCTGTTATCTGGACAAATCCACACAAAAGATTAGGAGTTCAGGCTATGTGATGGAGTCCCCAGCATTCTTTTTTCCAAGGCTTTCTTCATTGTAGCCAGTCCCTGATGGTAATTGGTTGAATCAGATTTAACAATGCAGTCAGATAAACAGTTGTGGCAGCTGCTGCCATGGCAACGTCACCGTCCTCACTCTCCCAGTGCGCGCCCCTTCCCC